AAAAAAAAAACCCTTTAAAAAAAAAAAAAAAAAAAAAAAAAAAAAATCCTTCCCTTCTAGGATGTTTCCTGGGAACTGGAGACAGGCATATAGGGCACCCACCAGATACTGGGAACGTCTGCTCATGAGAAAAACAGTCTCTCCACCTCACCACCTCCCTTTTTTAAGTCCAACTCTGGCCCTTGGGGAAAAGAGCAAAAGGCTGGCATGTGGGACCCCCTACCTCAGACAGGACAGCAGGCTGCTGCTAGACAGAGAAGCCCATGGGAGTCTAAGTGGCAGAGAGTAGGCTCCCACCCTCACATCCTTCTGTCCCACCTCCCTCACACTACCAGGGTGCCTTAGGTTTCACGAGCCCGGGTGACCAATGCATGTGGAAGGAACAACTTCCAAGTCTCCATCTCCCTAAGACTTCCCTGGCCCACGCATAGCCTTCCCTACCCCAGCCAGGCCCAGGAAGCAGCTCTCACAGAGTGGGTTGGTCAGCAGTGGTTATTGCACCATTGGCAAATAATGAAATGTGTGTACATCAGCCACAACCACAGGGTCAGCACAACAACCCTCAAAAGTACCTGAACTGAATCCATTTCATTCTTGGCAGGAGGGGAATAAACCGGGGCCACACACTCACGCACACGCACATCATACCACGGAATGGAAAGCAATAAATTATCGGCTTCATTCCTGCCTGGACCCTAAGAAAAGGTACAGTTACAGAGCAAAGCGTCTCCAGGCCACTGCCTGAGTCTCCCCCGGGGGTGGGCTCCTCTGTCTGGCCGTGGCTGTGGCCAGTCAATGCTGGAGGCCTGAGCACAGCTTGCTCTCTCTGGGCAGAGGTGAGCTTAAATATTTGGCTTCTTACTAGAGAAGAACTATTTACAAGGGAAGCGGTCACACAGGCCTCTCAGGTGAGTGGCTCATCTGGGCCTATGAAAGGTTGCCCTGAGCCCCAGGGGAGCACCAGCGTGTGGCACAGGCAGGAGAGCCCCTGCACACAGGACCATCCTTTCCAGAGGGCGTAGGGGACAGCCTTTCCACCCGCCCAAGGGTCTTGGGCAGGGGCTCCATGAGCCCAGGCTCAACGGGAAGGATGCCCAGGTTCTTCCTCAACCTCCAATGTGACTCCTCCCTCCCCCCGGAGTCAGCGTCAACCTACAGAGTTCAAGGCCTGGAATTTCTCTCTGAGGTTTCTCACTCTGCCCTGCTGGCTTGGGTCTGCTGGGTCCCTGGGACCCTCTTCTTTTGGCTGACACTCTGCAGACTCTTGGAAGTCCTGGCCCTGCCCTACCAGGGCCACCAGCAAGCTTGGTCCCTGGCCACTGCTCTCCTCCAGCCCCGCAGTGGGGCCGGGAAGGGGTCCCTTCTCCATGACAATCACCCGCCGGTCGTCCTCCAGGGTGAGGTCTGCAGTGACATACAGGGCCTCGTCTCCGTCCAGCTTGCTCTGGGGCAGAGGCCCAGGGGACTGGGTGGCCTCTCCGCCTCCCCGGCCCCCCTTGGTGCTCAGGCTGCAGCAGCGGCCCACCCTGCCCGCCCTGCCCAACAGAGGCGGCTCCACCATGTTCTCTGGCACCGAGCGGCTCCTGTTGACGGGTGGGCCTCGGGGCCGGCCACCCCCTGCTCGGCGTGCCTCATCGTGCGAGGCATACTTGGAGCGGAGCTCGCGGACATCGGGCCAGATGAAGGTCTCCGTGTCAAAGGGGCTGAGGGGGCTCCGGGCAGAGGGCCGCCCCCCAGGCGAGGTGGTCCCCTGGCTGACGGCAGACGGGCTGAAGGAGGATCGCCATGGCGATGTGTCCCCAGCCGAGGAGGGCTTGGGAGGGCTGTGCTCCCGGGCCATCTGCTGCTCACAGTCATGGAGAGACAGTGCCGGCTTCCTCTTACCTGCAAGGAGAGAGTGAGCTGCCTGAAGCCCGGGGCGGGAGGGTCCCCAACTCACTTTCCAGGCAAGGCTGGCTGTTGGGGTTTTGGGTGTGATGGGAGAGAAATCTCATTTACCATCCACAGCCCCTTTCGTGAAGGGCCATGGGAAGAATGAAGAACAGGCAGTGGAAAGGGTTGAGGAGTCAAAGGAAGAGGGGAGAGCTTCTGCTCCCATCCTGGTAAGCAGGAGCCTGAGGCTATGCTTCCTCCAGAAGCCTCTGCGGGATGGGAAGGGCCAGAGTAGAGGGCATCAGAAGGGCTCAACCAGGAGAGCAGGCTTGGCTTCAGAGCACTGGACTGGCTGCCAGGGCTCACCCTGTGCCCTTGGTGCCCAGGGTCCAGCTTCTCCCTTTGGTAGAAGCTCCTTAGAAGTCACTTTCTCCCAGGGGCCAACTGGCTCCTTCCTGGCTCTTCAGTCCCTACACCTGGGGAAGGGCCCACCTGCCACTCCAGTCATACCTTTGCCGCCCAGTGGCTCTCCAGCCTCCTCCCGTAGACAGGACACAGTGGGGCTCTTCCCATCCCTCTCAGGGACCGCCTTTTCCCACAGCAGTGGTGGCCTGGCCATCACTGGCTTGTTGCTCTTGATCCGGAGGCTGTACTGGCGGGCCAGCTGGTAGACCTTGTTCTTGACGCGCTCACTCGCGTGGCTGTCCATCACGTGGGAGAGCTGCATGATGCGGGGGTGCAGTGGGGCCACCAGCTGTCCCTGGGCACTGCTGCTCAGTTCCTTCACCAGCTCTTTCAGCTCACGGGCCAGGTGGGCCGGGCTGCGTCCCTCAGTGGGAGAGGCGCTTTCCGGGGAGGCTGAGGCCGACTCCTCCGTGATGGCTCCCAGCTCGTGCTCCTCCAGGATAAAGAGCGGCTCGTGCAGGTCAAAGCCATTGGCCTGGTCCTGGCCTGGTCCCTTCTCAGAGCTCCCCCCGGAAGACTCCATTCCCTCCCAGATCTTAACAATTTCTGAAGATGGACAGAACTCAGCATCTGTGATGGGAGGTGGGTCCCCTGTGCCCCCCTGGCTTGGTCCTGGGAGCTCAAACAGAGCCCACGAAGTTGGCCGGGAGCCCACCTGTCTCTTGCGCCCCACTGGAGCTATTGGCTCTGGGTCTGGCTGGGGCAGGCTGTTGAACCTGGAGACTGAGTTTCTCACCAGTCCTTTGGGGATGTAGGAGAGGCTCTCCCGGCGACGGACGCTGAAGCCCGCGTCGTGGTGCTCCGCATTTTCGTAATAGCTCTTAATCTTGTCCAACAACAGCCGGTC